AACATCCTCTTAAGTATGAGTGATTATGACATTAAAATGGTGGTAAACCAATACAAGATGGGGGGAAAGGAAGGGCAAAAGGAGAGGGAGAGGACAGAAAAATCCTAGCTGTATTTTCCATTCTCCAACCTTTGCTAATGTAGTTACTAATATTATTTAATTGGCTCCATGATGGAATACAGTTCTCACTTAAATATAGTCCCCCAAAAATAAACTCAGTGGGAATGAAGTTGAATAAAGGGGGGAAAAACGAGTTTTTGCATTGCACACACAAACTCTCATGTGCAATGCTGCCCTTCCTCTGTGAGTGTTCTAAACTTTATCTCTATTAAATAGGGAGAAAAAAAATGAAAATTAATAAGAACTTGTACTTCAGATTTAAACTTTCAAAAGAAGCAGCACGCAAAATTCAGTCATACCATTCACCATTCAAAATTCTAAGTATCATGTTCATATAAAGGAAATATTATTGACCATACAAAATAGTTGACTCAAGCCTGAGAAGACCTGCATACAGCTTTTCCAAAGCAGCTGCATAAAAACAAAGTGCCAAAAACCTGTTAGCTTGTCAAAAAAAATTCACAGGAAAATACATGTTGTGGAGACCAAACACTTTTACTCATTTCCAGGACTGCATTCTGATGACCAACAGTTAAGATACAACCCCTTCAGTTATTCCAGTGCCTCAAAGCTCTCCACCTGTCATATGTAGCTTGCTTAGCCCCCACCTCCCTCCACTTCAACTTTAGTGAATGTTATGGGATGAGATTCTAACTCTATTTAAAAATTTTCTACTAAAAGGAATATTTTATTCATATGCTATAGCCAAACATGATAATTATGAAAAGCATACATGTCCCCAGACACATTTTAATACATTTCATTCTCCTAGGCTCAAGGCAACGTTTCTAGACCATTCACAGAAATAATGATGATTTAAACTGCTTCACCAACATTCACTGTGATCTTTTTGATCCAGTAATTACCAAATTATATACTCCCTGCAAAGTTAAACATAAACCTATCTTCTTCAAAAATGGTCAATTCACTTGCAGTAGTTACAAAAAAATAAGTCAGAGAACTTTTTCCCTGTAACAGTAATGGCTTTTCCTAGCATGGAATCAAGTTTCCATAGCATTTTACTGTTACAAAACTTAAGATCATAAAAGAAGGCTATATTGTTAATTGTTAGTTTCAACTGTACTTTGTTGGTTTTAGCATGACACTGAATCTATTTTAATACCATCCTAAGAAAGCTGAAAATTAAGTGAAAAAGTTATTTTTCCCTAAGAATATAATTTATTTTTCATTTCATTAATGTCTCAACTAAAAATAAGTTTGTCACCAACCTTATTCAAAGTCTTACTATTTTGATTTCTAAGTATGTTAGTATACTTTGGCTTTTCTTTATAAAAAGACATATATTTCCCACGACACACATTTTTCAAAAAACTGATAGAAGGGGAGTAAGACTTTACACAACATAACACTGTTATACAATGCACTATACAAAAACCTGTCATTTAAGTTGCAAGAAACATACTCATCAATAAGTGGAAAAAATACCCTGCTCAAAAATCAATTATCTTGAGTCTTTTGTATAGAGAAGTAGTACACCTTTCAGGCAACCGGTATTAATGAGCAGACATGGCTATAGAATCTCCATCTGTTTTTCTGACAAAGCTGTGACTACTCCAGTCTCTCATTGAAATTCCATTAATCTGGTGCACCAAGGACCAATGCGAAAATCAAAACTCCATCTAACCCTTTATCAGCTCACAATAACCTACAAGTGAACTCTGCCTGTTAGCATACAGCAAGTTATGATTTTGCTATCAATCAGGCTGTTAGCCAATAAAAAAAAAAAAAATCAAGTTAAGAACAGAGTGCCTGGCAGTGCTGTTTTGTTTTGTCTGTCTTGTTTTGGGGTTTGTTATTTTATTTGGGGGGGGGGGGGTTGTTGTGTTTTTTCCCTCTTCCAATTTCTGTAGGGTGTCTGGACATGTAAGCCTATGCATCATTCTCCTTCCTTGTGATTTAATTGCTGCCAGCAATCAACTCAAAGCATCGCTGAAGTGTGCTTGAATTTCATTAGAAGATATAACTTATGCTACTTTCCTACAGTACCTAATAAACCATAAAGAAACCAAAACACATATGGCTTGAGGGAATAACTGGAAAATTAGGTGGCCATTTGGGAACAGAGTGAACTTTTGAACCAGAGGAACAGAGAAAAAGAAATATTAAAAGGAAAGACAGACTTAGAATGCACACAGAGATGTGGGGGTTTGACCTTTTCAGTACCTAGAAAATTACATTAGCATTATGAAAAATACATATCATGTTTAGAGTTTATAATCCATCAAAGTTTAGATACTTTGTTAGTGCCTACCATAAGGTAAAAGTCAAAAGGACAACATAACAATCAGATTTGACAAAAGGCCTTTAGGTGACCTGTGCTAATTTAGTTATCCTATACTTATTGTTAAGTAGATTATCTCTCTTGTAATTAATACACCATTAGACAAAGGTCACACAAAAACTCCAGGATTTTACAATGACCGTAACGTACACGTAATACTCTAATTCCTTATCTGTTACCAAGTGGGTGCCTTCACAAATTATATTTTGAGAGTAACACTGCAAAGTCAAACAGTGATATTTTCAGAGACCATACAAATCGTAGTCTTTAACTCAAGTATATAGAGGCCAAAAATATCAATTTTTTAATAGAAAAGGTACATATAAGGCATATAAAAAAAGGGATGAATGGACTCAACTATAAGTAGAAAACACTTCTCAATTTGATTACCTACTGTTAAGCCCTTCTATTAAGGCTTAAAGCCTTGATTCTGCAATTGCATATGCACAATGAGGTTTACACCTGCACAGAGCCCTGCTGACCTAAAATGGTAAAAAATATTTGTATAGGCTTTAAATACTGAACATTAGACTGCTCAAAAATAAAAATATAGTACTAAGCTTCAAACTTAGCCACGTCTATGAGAACTGAAGTGCACTGCACTTTCAAGCATCACTCCGCCTCTTACAAGATTCCCCCAATATGCATTTTCATACATAGTCTAGGTGGCTAGACTTGAATGACAGATTATAGATGTTAAAATCAAAATGCCCTTAGAATGACACACTGCACATTCAAAGAGTAAAACAGAAACACTCCTGCAATAAATATAAGTATTCACAGATTAAAATCTGCCGTCTTTCCTCAACTTTTACTCATTCTGAGCTCCCAGTATATTTTAAACAGGATTTATCAAAAATGTACAAACAACAATATGAGGTAACATCATCTTAAACATAGCAGAATTGCATCAACTGTATTTTTACCCACATCATAACTAAGTAGCCAAGATACTGTAAGGAAGCTATTATACCTAATCTCACAATTACAGCTTCTAAAATGGGCTAAAAATTAATCATCCAGCTGTTAAAACTCATACGATGTTTCACATTCTCTTGTGCCAGCACTCTTCAGTCATTCATTATTTAGTTTTATGAACATTTTCACTTTTTTCTTGACTTACAGTTTTGGAACACATATAATCATGTCTCCTATTAAGTATTTATACAATTTTCTCCTCTACCCTTGATGCAATCAATCTTATGCTGTTAAGTTACAATTAGAAATAATTTTAAGATTATGTTTGTAAGCAAAAATAACTAAATGGAAAGTTGCATTCATCTGTAGTTTGGAAAATTAGTTTGGGTTTTATAAAAGCCTTATTCAATTTGACTGATAATTACATTTCAACCTGAAAACAAAAAGGTTTGCTTTTCTTTTTTAATAGAAGGTCACATTGCCAAAATGCAAAACAAGCTCCATATAAAAGAAAATGTGTGATATTATCGTTACACATTTTACAGAGTTCTGGATATACAAAAAAAATTGTGCTATTCTGAATCAGTGGTTAGAAGGTTTATCACTTATGCATGTACTTGACTTATCCCCGTTCTGCAATAGACATAATTTTATACCTCATAAAAGCAATTTATGTTTCCAAAGGGAATAATCTGGATAACATAAAATGTGGAGTGCTATGTTGCGGGAAGCATATTTTCATTCAGCAATTGTATTTCGAGATGGAGCTGCACAGTTTGATCATCATATCATGTCAGAAAACATCATTCACTAGTAAGTCTATTTAACTTCCAGTGCCACAAATTAATATACAGCGTTAATTTATTTGTACATAGATTTAATTTATCACCATATATTATCCATAGAATGTTTTTATATTATGTATACAATAAACGAACCTCAGAAATATGGACACTACGCTAAAGCAAGCTTGTTAACTGTTGAAATATTCAGTTGCTCATATCTTCAAAACAATCACACTTAGCATTAAATTTAATGAATACAGAATAAAACTACATGGAAAACAGCTATTGAGCTTAGAGGTTTTTTTTAAAAGACACAAACCTCAAATTTAAAATTTATAAAGAAAACATTTTCTAGAAAAGACTGTCTTAATGGAAGGAAACATTGTAGGAATAATTAATTTAATATTTTATGAACCTATTCTGCATGGAGTTTACAGAAAAATATTAATCATATACACTGTTTCATTATTTATAAGATAAATAATACAGCAAGCCATTAAGTAGCACAATAAAATTAAGCAAGAATCTGATAATGTTGAATTAACAAACAATTTGTTACTACAAACATTCACGCTGCTTTAGCCACTGATCTATCTTTAAAAAAGAAATGCATCCTCAGAAGATGTTTTGCTATGGAAAACCATGAGTTAAAAAGCATGCATACTTCTGACAGCTTCACTATGCTTCTAGTACCACTAGAGAGAGCTCTTCAGTTCCTTAAAAGGTTCTTGTAAAGGTAACAAAACTGTCCAGCTGTGAGGCTTATCTGCTCATCTGATTTCCAACACTAACATTCTCATCAGGAGGATCGTATTACAAGAGTTTGTAGCAAACTGGCAAATCTAGTACATTCAAAGATAAACAGTGTCACATACCATCAGAGGGTGCTTCATCCTCTTTATCATATCGGTCAGATGCTGTTGAGACACTATCAGGAGGTGAAGGAAAGGAGCCCTCAGACTCTTCCTCATCTTCCAATTCTGCAAAAGTCAAAAACGTGTTGCTGGTTAAAGGTCTATCATATACACGTAGACAGGATCCAAAGACAGGCCTTTTCCTTACTAAGAATTCCTATTTTAAGTTGAACAAATGCCAATTCTTATGCACTCTCACTCCATGCACCTTGTACGTTAAAGCGTCATGGTGAACGCTGCTGTTCTAGAGCTACATCCTCACTGGCCAAGTGCTTTTTGTTGGGGTGGGTTTTTTTGTTTTTTTGTTTTTGGTTTTTTGTTTTAAACACTCTCACATTAATGAATCCACTCCCAGTGCTGCACAGCTGACAGCTTCTCACGCAGAGGGGAAGAAAAACACACACCACGGCAAAGAGGTGGGCAAGGGAAAACACTGTCAGGAAGAGGAATAGGCAGTGTCAAGATCAGAGGTTCGTTCTAAGCGCAGAAGGGAATTGCGGCCACCTCCTCCAATAAAGGGCCCAACTACTTTTTGCAGCAGGTTGTCGCCCTCTGCTCACTTTCACTTTCCTTCAGAGAACTTCTCTGCAAACGCAGCGTACGTGGTATTCCTCCCATGAAACTAAAACTGGACAAAAATTCCCGACAGCAACCCAGTCTGAATGTGTGGCTTAATGCGACATATTGATGAATATCCTAAACAATTGAGAGCTCTGCTACAATACCTGCAAAATCTACATGGTAAACGAACCTATGCACTATGCTGATCAGAGTGCATTAAATGTGAAGGTCTAGGAAAGGTAAGGAGAAATCAATATTACTTGAAGGTTTCATTTAATTCATTTAATTCATTTAATATCCCTCCCAAAACCGAGTATATTTTCTGAGATTTTCATACCATCCAGGTGAAGAAGAGGTGGAAAAATAGCAAATACAGGGGGAAAAAAGAACATAAACTACTTTCTTCCTTTTTAAAAAAAAAATGAAGTCTTGGGGAAGGAGAGAAAACCAGTAATTAAAACTCATAATGTCACTAAACCAAAATCATAAACCTGATGCACTAATAGATCAAATGACCCTCAACTTCCTAAAACAGTATATAAAGCTAAATTGCTCAGGCATTTTATTTCAGTATATTTATATGCAGAAAGCTTTCCAGAGACCTCCAGATATGTTTCTCTATTCATGTATTCCCTTTTCAAGTACTGTATCAGATAACTAATTTCTCAGAATCCAAAATAAACCACATGCATAGCTGGGATATTCTTCTCCACACACATATGAACCATATTCATCAGTAGGACTGTCTAGCCATGGTTTAGAGTTTTGCTACTTTGCTTGCTATTTAATAATGTAAATTTGTGGAAAATTCAGAGTCTGTGCCCAAAAAGCACCACAGTTCTTAGCAAAGACCAGCACATTTTTTCTGTACAAGACAACAAAGTCTTATTTCTGCTTTGCTGGAATTCTTTTACATCCCAAGACTGCTGAATACCGAATTGGATTTTCCTTTCGGTAACATAGTACGTTTTTCTTGGGAAAGCTTCCTTTCAAGCTCCAATGCCACATAACAACTGCTCAGAATCTGACACTGACTCCAATCTATTTTTGACATGACCATCTTCCAGTTGCGCTCCAGCCATCGTGTGAATCTGATCAAAATATTTGCATTTCATCACACCTGTCAAACCAATCAAAAGTAAATTATCTCTCTCCAGAAGGATTCTCCTATCCCTCCAGAGAAAACCACAGAGCAGACACCATATGAACAGAAATCATTATGCCATATTTGCAATCTGTATGATCATCTTTTACACCTACACGCTAAAGACTAGTTGTCTGTCTCTTCTTCTTTCTATATACACTTATGTCTTTATTAGAAGATAGACTCTGTATACAAAGAGCAGACATGATATTCACAACCTATATGACATCAAGAGTTTTTCCATCTTTTTTCTGTTCCAAACTTTTACTAGTACTAGAATGCATAGCATATATGTATGCAAACACCCCCCCCCCCAATACCAAGGTGGTCAATCAAAAAATGCCCTTCTATCAGCTATTAAACGTACCATCATTTAACCTTTCTGAAGTTGCCAGCATAATTTAAAATATTAGGCTGTATTTCTAGAGGAAAACATTTCCATAAACAGAACTCCCATCTCCAGCACTCAGAATTCACGGGCTGAATAGCGAGAGTATATCTAAAAATATCTAAACGCATAGCACTTGTGGATGACAAATTGTCAAGTACACATGTAGAAAGAACATTTTCATGAATTCTACCTCTCTCAGCTATACACAATCCCTTTCAGAGAAGTTTGACTGTGATTTCTTATGCAAGTTGGCATAGCTGTGCTTTTAGCATGTTCTTCCATTAAGTTACAATATTATCATTTTCTAGTTATGCTAAGGTTCTTACAGATACAAGCAAGCCCCTGTGCGTTGCATTCATATAAACCCCCAAAGGGGCTTTTTAAATTCATATATACATATTTAGAGCTCACCATGTACATATTCTAGGTATATACTCTATTTGAAACAACACAAACTGTGGGCACGTTAAATGCACGCTTGTAATAAAACAAGTCTGCCATAAATCTACACTATTAAATTTCAAAAGACTCATTAAAAACAGACAAAATGTTGTTGAGGTATTGTGAAGAAAGTTAGAATTCGAAGTTATATGCTTAGTGTTTTGAGAGAGTTTATCATCTGCAAAGCATTCTCTAGATGTTAAATCCTAAATAAAGGTTTGAAGATTTCAATGACAATTTTTAAAACTTATTCATAGAGAAAGACAATCAGAACAAAAATACAGATCCCTATACAAAAATATGTTTGGGTACCCTCACTTTATGTGTGAGAACCATGGAAAATAGGTCCCAGACACTAAAGGTGTACTAACCCACGGCCATGCAAGACAAGATTAAACCAAGAATCTTCCTTTTTGCAAAGTAAGATTAAATAAGAATATTTGTGATTTCACATTATATACTGAAATGCAATCCCTAACTCACTCAATTTGTACATAAGAATTGCAATCATTTTGATAGGACAGGTGACTAGATGTGCTCTGGAGCTTTAACAGGTAACGTTTCACAATGTTTTTATGTACTCGCACAAAAAATGACTACAGGATAGCATCGGATCCTTGCCTCCTGATTTTGGCAGGGTTAAAAGACACTCTTAAAAGCGCATGCTTTTAATACACAAGGATATTGCCCCTGACAGTTTATACAAAGCCTCCCTGTTAATTCTGTGTGGTCTCTTGCATTCCCAGTCAAAATAATCCCTTCCCGTTTTCCACTTCATACTCTCCTCCGTCAAGCTGCTGCACTGCAGCTCATATTCCACCTACTGAGGAAGACTAGAAAGAATTGGATTTGAAGCTATCAGTGTTACTCCTTAAACAGTCAGAGGAGTCAGTCTTGAGCAGCACAAGTCACTTCCCTCTTCAGGTGCCAAGTACCTAAAAATACACCCCAAAAGCATCAATAAATTAAAGAAAAGCATTCAACTTGCATTTATATAATAGAAAACTGAACTACAAAGCAACAATGGGCATCAGGTAAATGCATCCAATACAATTTGCAGGCATAATTGAAAGCTTTACTGCCTAATCAGACATCTAAAAGCAAAGCATGCTCAAACGAAATGTCTATAGACTCATTAGTTGGCAGCCATTCCATTACAATCACACATAATGTCAGTAGTGCCTTGAACCTGTGCCAATGACAACAGCATAAATTTTGCATCTCATTTCTGTGGTCATAAAATTAATGATCAGTTTAAAAATACTTCTTTGCAAAAGTTATTGCACAAAGAAATGACATGAATGTGTCCCTGTTATATAGTCATGAGGATAATTAAGGAGTTGATGCTCATTAATATAGTTTCTTGTTTCCCCAGAATACCATATGATTTATCTGGAACCTGAGAAAAGTTTAATTAACAATAGATGGTTAACAGTTACAATACAAAAACATGTATATACACTATTCTGTACTTCAATTTCTTCAATTTAAACTAACCACTTATAGGTTTGATAGTGGAATCAATATTTTATGTTATCCATAACAAAACATACAATGTCTTTCCTTATTAAAGGCTACCTTTGCAATTACAGCTTGCTTATTGATACAGAAAATAATGTACACCAACGGTTAAGTACACCACATTAAGGCTAGAGCATTAGACACAAACTCTCCTCATTTTAACAATTTAACTTAATTCCCTGTTCTATATTCTGAAGATTTTCAACAGGTTTAGTTGATATAAGCTGAACATAGCAAACAGGACCATATTACTTTACAGAGATCCTGTAAAAATTAGATTTTTTTTTTCTCCAGAAATTTATTTTCTTTAACAATAACCCAATTAGAGTAATGAACTCCTAAACAGTAAAGATACTGCTTCAGGTACTAAAAGAGAGCAGACAAGATGTTTCAGCCAGTGCCTCTGAAATAGACTCTTGCTATTTAGAGGTCCTGAAATCACTAAATGCTTTTACTGTATTTCTAAAAAGTCTAGGGGGAACGATGGGTAAAAAATCGCTCCAGTCAGCAGTCTTAACATCCTGCTTCTTCCCGTTTCAGGAGGTCCCAAGTCACAGCAGGCTGAAATTATTTCTTTCTGTCCAATCACTGCTGCTGCAAAGACCACATGAACTTACCAAGTAAATAAATGCAAGGTTCTCACTACAGTTTTCACAAAAATAACTGGGCAAAGCTACTTTCAAGCTGACGCATGTTTACTTTAGCCCCTTGATGGCTGCAGGTGATTTTCAAAAAGATGCTACTGGCCCAATTTACCAGTCACCCTGCAAGAAAGGGCTTTTGGCGCAGCCAGTTTCTCACTGTATGCTTTGCCATGCAAACTGCTTTAACATGCTCATACCTGAAGACCCTTCTAGATTCTCATGTTAATACATGAGGGTTTTAAATTGCTAAAAAATTCCTACTTGACCTTTACAAAACACGCATCTATTTGTTAAAACAGTACTGAAATAGCGCTAGGTTTGTAAGTAAACATGCTTCAAGCACAGAAAAGCAACATAACCTGCACTTGCTAAGTACCCGGTTAAGCTGCCTCTTGTCCTGATGGGGCACATCGGGATAAAACCATTCTCTGCTGCACTGGTTGCTATACCTTGCACTCCTTGAAGTCATGCTTGGCATAGACACTTGACAGATGACAGCTGTGTGAAGGTGAAAGGGACAACATAGTGACTTGCCTACACCTAAACGCTCCAGACCTCCAGGATAAAATGAAACTGGCACATTTCTAACTCATTTGATGGTCTCTCCAGAACAGGTCATGATGATCCCCAGAGGATGGTGTAACCACTGAGCAGTACCTTTCCCTTTATACTGTGGTACTAATAATGCATTGAAATTCCTGATTCCGCAATTTCAAGTGTGCTAAAATATACTACTCATATCCACAGGTTGCTCTGACTGCCACAAACTACTGCCTCCCTTTTTCAAGTCCAAAATGACTCCCAAATCCCTGCCACCATTTCCTAGAGAACAAAGCGTACAGAGACCAAAAAAAAAAAAAAAAAGGAGTCTCCCTACAAAACGGTACCTTTTGGTCTCGACATACAGACAGAAGAGACAATACAAAACCTTTGCATGTAGCGCTACTCCATCAGTTGACTTTATCCAGGAAGCAGGTGTCTCAGGTCCCAGACACTCATTGCTCTGTCAGGAGCCACAGAAGCACCCGAATCATTGACAGGTTTCCTGGAGGTGCTCCCGTTAATTAGGCAAAGAACAATGCTGATGTTCCAGAGACAAAGCTTTATCTTCTGCTGTGCCAAAGTGAAATGAAAATGGACCTTCAACAGCTTTTACCAGCCTCAAAAGTGATAATTCAGCATAAATGCCAAATCATACATTTTCTGCTTAAACACTGCCAAAGTCGTGTGTTGCAGATCAGATAGGAGGTGCACCAAGGGCTTTACAGGGAACTTGTTCTACAAATTCCCATATTATGACTAGATTTGGCTAGTACTTTTGGTGTCTCTCTTTCAGCATAGAGCCAAAATTTTTCAGAAAAGTGATTAAAAATATGTATTTTGCTAGAATAAATGCAAAGAACAAATGGTAAGGTGAACTTCAAAACACAAATACAGTTTCTAGGGCTTACAGCACTTCTGCCAACTTTAGCACTATTTTTAGCATAAATTGAAAGCAAGGCTCTTTTAACTAAACATTTTGGCAGTCATAGTATTGATTCAATTAATCTCAAAACTGAGAAATGCCAAAAACTGTATTAACTCAGAATCTTTGACAAAGTCCAGACTCTTCTATCCTTCACTAAATATTAGCCTTATTAAAAATTAATCTACTTTGTATGAAAATTATCTTAGTTTTCAAGTTGCTTCCCAACTCACGATCTAGAACAGGTCACCTTGCAAGTGACCATAACTGGCTTTTTGTTTTTACTTACAATGTTTAGATGAAAAGTCAGATATTTGAAAGCAAAAACATGCAGGAACGTCTAACAGGAAAATAAGTTTCTACCGAGTTCCTTAATTTAAGAATGAAAGTAAAATTTGGTGAGAAGATTAGTGATTTGTATACTAACATAACTGTACATCTCTGGTCATGACCTCACACGGACTTTCTTAGCTCAGAAATCAACATTACGTTTAATTGTAAAGGTCAGTGTAAAACTGGATAATACATCATACACAAGAATTAAAGGACATTTTCCTGTACTGTGAATTTAGTGTCTTGAATTTTCACATGCACATTATTTTTCCCCCCCCCCCCCCCCCCCCTCTCCAAAGAGCTTCTTTTTCTTTCAGAGTGTAGATTCACTTGCAAGGATGCCCTTGCCAGCATATGTAGTGACCTAACAGACAACAACATGAGAAAGTTTATTTTTAAGAGGATGTAGGAAAGTGTCTAAGTTCATCAGTTTAGTTGCAAAGAAGTATGTGTGCATTTTTAAAAAATTGAGACGTGCACATGAACAATTTTGGTTTAAAGGGGCCTGATTCGACTTGTGCACATGGTCTTTTTTTTTTTTTTTAAACTGCTTGCCAAATGTTTTATGCAAGATAAGACTCCATGTGCTAGTGGCAAAAGTCCATGCACCAAGAGCTCACGTACAATACCTTGGTCAAACTGACTAGTCACTACATGCAAAGGCAGTGGAACTTCAAGAACAAGCAATGATGAAAGACAGTGGAGCGACAAGCTGATACCCACAAAGCATACTTGTAAAATAACTCACAAGCTAAAAGAGCTTGAGACACCAGAGTCAAGTTCCATTATGTTAGACAGGAAACGTAAGAATTTTGACAGTGTTAGTCAACTTCTTTCAGCCTCCGAAAGATTCTAGATGCCTTCAGAAAGATGACAGGTCAGGACTCTCAAGATTCTTGAAAACAGTTGGTGTAGTATGATAATTAGTATACCATGGTAATATAGCATATACTGTAAATCAATTTCCACCTTTCCTTTCAGCTACAAAGATTATTTTATATACATAAAAAATGGAATAATTGCTACCACAAAACAAAGAATAGCAGATATGTAGTTTAAACATGCCATTGTCTCTTCTAGTCTCTCTAGCTTGTTTTAGTGTAATTTCCACAGTTCTGTTTCCACCATCCCTCCTTGTTTTCCAAAAGATATTCTCCTATCCACCATATATTTTGGTGCATTTCTTTGAGGGGTGGAGGAACGTAAAGAGTTCTATCCATCACTACCACCTCCTTTAACCATCTTTTCTCAAATTTTCCATTTTTCAAAGGTCTAGATGCGCACATAAGTATGAAAGGGTACAAAAGTTAACCGAGCTGCTTTGCTACACTAGCAGCTGGCAAAGAAGCTGACTGCCTGTCTCCACCTAGGTCCTCTGCTGTACACCTACACAAATCACACTTAACTGCTACAGGCCTAAAAGTAAGAATGACACAACCAAATACGGTTTACCACACACTTGAACTTTGGAGGTTGTACTGACAACCCATACCAGTGAACTAGATTCCCTCAAATAGTTTTCAAGTAAGTGTGGGCTCCAATTTCTCAGGAATTTTTCATATTCATGTATGTAAATGTACAAGCATTTGGAGAAATTTATCCTAGCTTGTAGAAAACAACAGTGTAACTTCAGAGCCCTCTCATTTTATTGACAAACGCTGAAAGAAAATTAAAATGTCAGCATTCACAGGCTTCACCATCTGTACACAGTTCTAGCATCTTAGTCGAAGGAGATGCATCATGAGAATTAAAATAACCAAAAGCAATCTATCCTTCTTAAGAAACACATCCACGCTAATTAAAAAAACAAGATTGAATACAATTTTCACTAAAATCAGAGCAAGTTGTACAGTAACAATTACAAACTATTTCAATTAAATTAGACATTTTACTGGAAATAATTTCATCTTTATTAATAATCTATTGAATTGCAAAAGAAATTTTGAATTATCAAAGAAGAAAGTACAGTAGGCTAGAATTTTCTTGTACTTCCAAAAATAGCAGTAAATAACAACTCTGCTTTTATAAACAATTTTCATGCTTATTAGGCAGTCACAGATCCAAAAGTCCTTTAGGTACACATATTAAATCTTCAAAAACATAAAACATGCTCTCCATATGTAATGAAACAGCCATCCCACCTAATTTCATGTTAGCCATTTTCTGAATAAAATGACACTTGACTTTTCCTCCCTTAATTCTGTCTGGCAGTGGAGGGAGAAGGGAAACTACATCTTATCTTCAGTAAGGGTGTTAAGGTGCAATATAAAATAGTAGCATAATTTTAATATAATTGTTTATACAGTCCCGTAGTTTGAGTTTACAAAAACTTGGCAATCTTCAGGAAGCTTCAACTTATACTTCCTCTTTCAGTTGGCCTGTTGCATCTATCTAATGCAAGCTATAAGAAACATATGAACTTTTTGTATCTTGCTATAACTTTCTGTAGCCAAATATCCGATTTCCATCAGGTATGTTCACACTATCAGCAGGCACAAATATAGCCTACACATTTGAACCCCCGTGTCCAGAAACGGACAGTACAAGGTTCCTCAACTACTGCAAAAAGTAAAGCTTTGCATGGGCTTTTTTGACCTCACACTGTGACCCTCATACCAGCATCCACAGGCTATAGGTCATGACCTCAAGAATTAGCATCATGGAAATAAGAGCCCTTCCAGGTTTAGTTACAGAACAGAAGACTGTAGCAACACACGCCGTTCTTTTCTAAACTGCACCCTGCAGCTTTGTTTTAACTCCACTAAAAGACGATAGATAACCCACACTTCAGCCTTCATTACTGGCACACTAAATCGTCTCCTCTTTGGATAACGGTCCGAGTTCCTGCTACGCTGTGAAAACATTCATTCAGTGTGGATCGAAAGCCAGTATCATATTGCCGCTAGATGAGCCTATTAAAAGGTTAAAGAAATATCACTGTGGAAGTGAAGACTTTTGCAATCACTGTGAAGAAAAAAGGCTGAAATAAATTATCCCCGCTAACATTTTATCTCCTAAGCAGACTGCTTTGCATACACTTCCTCCGAGAAACCTGCCTCACTTGCTTTTACTTGCTTAAGCTATTGCTAATTAAATCAGACAAAACAAGCTCCATTTATATGAAATTCTGAACTATATTTCTAGCCTAATCTTTTAATCAGTAAGCAGTCTCAGATGTGCTTAATGAAGTCAACAGGACCTAGTTTTAGCACGAAGTTTGAACCTCGGGAGCTTTGCACCTTTTCCCTCAGCAGGGGGAGCCAGCATCCTCGTCCTTGCGAGTCACCCACGGCACCGCTGAGCATTTCAAACAAGCGTATGGTCTCTTTATTCCACCGAGAGCCTGTCAGTGGGCAAAAACATACCACAAAGGGAGGGACGGGGGAAAAAAAACACGCATAGGATTTACCTTTATCCTGGAATTCTTGAGGATAGCTGCAGAAAGAAGAAGAAACAAAATAAAGTAACAGAGATTTGCAAATCTTCATAACTAGAACATAACGTAAAACAAATCACGAGTTTCCTACGAGCTTTGTAGTTGTAAACTTAGTGCTGCAAATTTCCTATATTGATATGCATTAAGGTATTTACTTTGGCCTAAAATATTTAATAGTTTCCTTTTGCCTTTGAGAAAATCCTAAAGTAATCATTTTAAAGAAGGGTCCGACAAAATCCCAGATAGGGCAGCCCGTTTTAGGTGGTACTTACATCTACACAGACATCTTACGGAATAAGCATACCAGAGTATCTTTGATTTAGTTAGTTTTCTAAATGTTAATTTTTTTTTTAATTTTTGTGCATAAATAGAAGCCACTAAACATCTTAAAAATGACATGGTACA